GACGGGACAGCAGGCGAACATCCTCGTCTGTTTTCTAACATCCTTGACAAATGCCCAGCAAAAGTTTTAGCCCCCATTGACACGTCAGATCATTACCTAGTCTGTGTTCAGATTGACTCCAAACCAATGATATCCCCTGTTTTACGTTTCTATAGAACGCTTTCTCGCTATGCGGAGACAGAGTGGGACAGATTTCGTCCTATACGACGGAAGCTCCTCTCCCAACCTTCTTTATACATTCTACTCCTAAAACTGCTGCTGTAATCTCCGAATTGATCCTTTTTTTGGAATAGTGTATTATACCCCAAAAACATCCCAGCAAAATCCCTGAATAACGCTGCAGCCATAGCTCACTGGAACGACTACTTCAAAATCTATCGTAAGGAGCGGTAAGTCTGGCCCTTACTTCTTTCAGGACTGTCCGCAACCGCTGTAAGAGAGTCCTGGGAAACGTAAGGTGCTGCTACGCGCGATCTATCCAGGCCAAGTTTGAAAAGAAACAAATTGGATTTCGCGAATTCTTGAAGATCAACAACCAAATTATGAACAGAGCCAAAGCGGCTGTGTCCACTATTATAAATAAACCCGAGGTCCTATCCTTCTCCCCTGAAGATCTTCTTCTCACCGTTAGACGACAAAGGCCATTCCCTCCCCAACTTCCTACGTCTCACTGAGCACAATCTCAGTAATATATTCATTTCAGAAAGAGAAGACTCTAGACTTATGAAAAGCCTCAACCCCGCAAAAAACTACTGGCCTAGACAAAATTCCCGTGGTCGTCATTAAAAATACCAACCTAGAATTATCCCCGATTCTAGCAAACAGTTTGAACATTTGAGGAATCGATATGTTTATTATTGATATGTTTGTATAATCAATAAAATACGATTTGTGTGCACGTTTTAGTTTTCAATACTGTATACCTACTTTTGCACACCTTTTATATATCCCTAGCCATGGTCGTTTGAATGAGAGCAATCCACTGTAGATTAAATAAAGAGTTTATTTCAGAATGCCTTTGTAGATTGCCCGGATCGCCATACACATGATGAAGGCCCGAGAGCACAACGGCCGAAATAAACAACAACAATGAGGACAATAGTCTATATGAAAATAGTGTAAATAAATTTGATTTACATTTTATTTTTATGTTCTTTCTGGTAAAATATAATTACTTTTCAAATAGCGTAATGTGTCGAAGAGAATTATATTGGGATATGGTTGTCGTTTAGACTAATTGCCGAGAGGAAAGCCACCCCCCCCCCGACAGTTACACTAAACTCTAACCGAATAACTTTCTCATTAGTGCATTATTTATTTCCCCTCCTCCATCTCACTAGATAGCATGGCTCCCTAGCTCATAAGAATTTATAAAACTGTACTCATGGCCAGAGTAATGCGACACCCAGTAAAGGGAAAGCTTACTACGCTAGCTTATTAACTACAATAGTAGAGGTTCTGACTTTTTTTCTTTCGTTAATCGAATTCACCCGAAGCAAGGAAGTAAAGCCACTAAGACACAATGGGTTACTGGGTGTGGAAGATTTAGAAAACAGAAACATTACTAAAGAGCGAGAACAAAAGAAGAGTAATCGGGAGGACAGTAGATAGCGATTGGCATTGTACTTGAATTTTTGAAGATCAAAGTTAACTGGAAAATATGGAGCCAGAAAAGAATTTCACAATCGAGAAGTGCGAGAAAAGAGAGTGTTGTCATAGCATGTACGGTTACATCTAGCCAAACCAACTGTAAATTGATAAGACTTTGTTGCCAATCTAGTCAGACAGTTATGTACCATGCGTGATACACGCTTAGGCGATCAAGTATCTTTCGGTAGGTTGCCATTTCTTTCTGTAGACCAGTTGCTATCCGAGAAAGGGTGAGGAAAGATATCTCTATTCTTATCTTTTAATGACCCTTGTGTGTTCTTAGACATATTTCCATTTTTGTATTGTATCGGTTTTGTTAGTATGCGTATGTATATGCATATTCCCTCTGCATACATACATGCTGTCTTATTATAAATAGTATACACATATATACATGCATACAGACACACATATATATACGAGGGTCATTCAATAAATAAGGTGAATTTTTCGGTATAAGGACTTCTAATACAGATAGAAGCTTGCTTTTTTTTTTTTCAACGTAGTCTCCCAGCACTGTCACTCACTTTTCCCATCTGTGCACAAGCTTCCGTTATTCCCTCAGCGTAAAAATCTTTTGGACTGATGTCTCAGCCAGTCGCTCACAACACTTTTGACTTCATCGTCACTTTTTTAAACTTCGTGCCTCTCGTGAACGCTTTCAAGAAACCAAACAGGTGAAAGTCTGAAGGGGCAAAGTCTAGGCTGTAAGGGGGATGAGGGAGCAGTTCCCAGCCCAGCTCGTTGATGGTCTGCACCGTTTGGGCTGCTGTGTGAGGCCTTGCGTTGTCATGATGCAAGATGACTCCTTCTGACTGATGACCCCTGCGTTTGTTCTTTATGTCTTTTTTGACCTGCCTCAGCAGTTCACAGTAGTCCTTCTGTCAGACTGAATAAGGTCATTGACTGCTTCGTTCACCTCAGGAGACCTCACTTCTTTAGGCCCCCCAGGCCTGTCTTCATCCTCAAAACTGCTCAGTCCTTCTTTAAACAATTTAGCCCACTTGTGGACATTTTTTTGGCTGAAACATGTGGCACCATACACAGTTGACATTCTCCTATGAATTTCAACTGGTTTGCACCCTTCAGCAACCAAAAACTTGATAACTGACAGCTGTTCAATCCTGGAGCATGCTTCTTGGTCGGCCATCTTTGTTAATCGCCAAAACTCTCAAAGTTTTTTTTTAATCTGCAAAAGAAATTAAATCCATGTGAAAAAGAAGTAAAACAAAAAAAAAATTAAAAAAAGTAAGTTTCTATCTGTATTATTTATTGAAAGACCCTCGTACATACATATATACAGACATACACATACGAACACTTCCTATGTTGTGTTGCTTCGTGTGTGTGCTTGTGAGTAGTCTATTTGTTTTTGCCAATATATGCTCTACATATATCCGCGCGTGTGTGTGTACGCATGCATGTGAGTGGTTCGACCACTGTATTTGGCCAATATGCGTGTATGTCGTGTGTTTTTGTGTGGGGGGTTATGATCTTTTTAGTGTTGTTTTAAATTTGTTTATTAAGTTTTTTTCTTGTATTTGTAGGTAAGAATAACTGTCTGTTTGATATATTGGCATAATTTTAAATTCACGCGCATGCGCACACACACACAGGTATCTGTGCAGCACGAATATATATGCAAATATTGGCAAAAACAAATAGACTATTCACACGTACACACACAAACCCTGCACAACATAGGAAGTGCATGTATGTATGTATATATGTATGTATGTATATATCTATCTCTCTCTCTCTATATATATATATATATGTGTGTGTGTGTGTGTGTGTGTGTGTGTTTTATGTATATATATGTATACATATTCCTTATAATAAAACAGTATGTATGTATGGAGAGGGAATATACATATACATACGCGTACTAACAAAAACACACACAATACAAAAAAAATGGAAATAGATCTAAGAACACGCAGGGTTCATTAAAAGATATGAATACAGGTATCTTTCCTCACCGTTTCTCGGACCAAACTTAATTGTTTTATTACCCTTCATGCAGAAGAACTTTCTCACTGCCAGTCCAAGAAAGACATTTGTGTCACTACCGCACCAAAAAAGAGGATGTTTAACATCGAGAATGTTTAACATCGAAAAACATAATGAAAATTAATTCATTTAATTAATATGTGTAAATATCCACTCTTTGCCTAAAGAAGGTCGTGAGACCCGAAACTCGTGTTGCAAAATTATGGAAAATAAAGTATAATATACATTTTTTTTTAAAATTCCATATTACAACCAAAAACGTTTGCGGTTTTCTCTCTTTAATATATACACTTTCTCTCGTTGGAACAACTATAACCTCTTCCCTATCTATCTATCTATATATATATATATATATATATAGAGAGAGAGAGAGAGAGAGAGAGAAAAAGTTGCAAATTAAAAAAATAATAATGTACTTTTATGAAAGTATTTATTTATTTGTATATATATTTGATATTTCAAATTGCCCTCAATCTTTCTTCAGAAATAACTGTTTGTGTACAAGTAGCGTCCGTCGCGACATGCGGACGCACGTGATATGGAAAGAATATATACAAATAAATAAATACTTTCATAAAAGTACATTATTATTTTTTTAATTTGCAAATTTTTTTCTATATATACATATTAAGAAAGTATACGTGGCTTCTCATTATGCTATATATATATATATATATATATATATATATATATATATATATATATATATATATATATATATATATTCGCTATACTTATTGGAAAGTGTTCAGTACCAGTGAAAGACCTAACATATTCAGTTGTAAGGATATGAGTTTGTAACCTTGGGTTTCCTGCTGTTTGCGATCATCAGGCAAACTGATTTATTTTTTTTTAAATTGAATCTATTTATGTCAGTTTGTGTCGGATTATGGTGGAGTATGAAAATAGGTTTACAGTTGCGTATGTGTGTGTTCTCGTACAAATTGATATATGTGTGCGCCTATCTTTCATTTTTTATATGTGAGTGTTTGTGTGAACTCGAATGCGTACACCTGTATGTATGTATGTATGTATGTATGTATGTATGTATTTCTGCGTGCGTATGAGTGCCATCCCAAAACGGACACAGAGGAAAATTTTTACCCCTCCACCAGGACCTGGGAACACCAACAATTAAGAGGTGGTTCCACACTCCTCAAAACCTCCTGATAAGAGGCTTTGTTGTCGGATGTAGTTTATCGTCTTAGCCAGGACGAGGATGTAGTTTATCGTCTTACCCGGGACGCGAATGTATATTGAAAAAAATCAATCCCCTTAATTACGTTGCTTAAAATCGAAAATTAAAATAAACAAAAGAATTTTTTTTTTAAATTAAATTAAAAAAAAGAATGAAGATATAGTGAAAGAGGAGTAGGAGGAGAAGGAATAATTAGAAATATACAAGAAGAAGAAGAAGAAGAAGAAGAAGAAGGAATAATTAGAAGAGGAGTTTGAAGGAATAGAGTTGGAGAGAGAAAAAGAAAAAGAAAAAAGAGCAATAAGAAAATAAGATCAGTAAAAAGAAGAAAAAGAGAAAGTGAAAGAAGAGAAAAAAAGAAGAAACAGAAGATAAAAAGAAAAAGAAGACAATAAAGAAGAAAAAGGAGAGAAAATGAAGAAAAGAAGAGAAAAAGAAGATAAGAAAGAAGAAAAACGAAGAAAAAGAAGGGAAGAAAGAAAAATGAAGATAAAAAAGAAGAAACGGAAGAGAAAAAAGAAGAAAAAGAAGAGAAAGAAGAAAAAGATAAAAAGAAACAGAAGAGAAAAAAGAAAAGAGAAAAGAAGAAAAAGAAGAGAAAGAAGAAAAAGAGAAAAAGAAGAAAAAGAGAAAAAGAGAAAAAAAAGAAGAGAAAGAAGAAAAAGATAAAAAGAAACAGAAGAGAAAAAAGAAAAGAAGAAAAAGAGAAAAAAAAAAAGAGAAAGAAGAAAAAGATAAAAAGAAACAGAAGAGAAAAAAGAAGAAAAAGAAGCGATAGCGAATTCAACGAGTTTTTTTGTTTTTCTTGCTTGCTTGCTTTTCTTTCTTTCATTCTTTTTTAAGTCTAGTTGCGAATACACTAAACGAGTCACAGTCCTTACCCCTAAGGCGCGGTATGTATTTTTTTTTTACAGTTTGGGGATTTCTAGACGCAATAAACGATTTCAAAATAAAAAGAAAAAAAAAAAGAAAAGCTGATGCATCTGCTCTTGGTGCTACAAGCGGAACCGGTTTTCTTTATTTGGGCAGAATTCTGAAGATGACAGAAACAGAACCTTGCGAGAGCAACGCTACGATAGCGATCTCCCCTAAAAGAGTGCTTACCACGCAAACCGCCCCCGCTATCCCGGAGCAGCACCAACTCAACTACACTTGGTTTATCGAATAACGGAATCTAAAAAAGATATTTTTAAAACATGATTCTCATAATCAACGAACCGAATAAGTGTTGCACTATGTGCGTGTTTTAGGATTAGTTGATATGATGCCTCGGGGGTAGCTTAGATTTTATCAGCATACGAATGTACCCAACTGTTTGTGTTTAACTTGGTTTATACCAAAATAATTATTTCGTGACGATATTCAGTCACCCCCCCCCGCCACGAGGGTGTCATGTGGCACAAGGCCTTTTTAACGTGGGCATTTCCGAGCCATTAGGCTCGGCCAAAAAATAGCCCATTTGAACCCGTATAAACGGGTTCAGGGCCGGTTTTACCTCCCCGAAGGAGACTCCGCCCTTCGGCGTAGCCTCTTTCGGGTTCCTCCCGCCCATAGGAAGAGAGTTGAACCGAACAGTCGCTCAGAAAGTGAAATAATTATTTCGTGACAGCTCAATGAATTTCTCTCCACAATAATGTTTTCGTTTCCTCATATTCTCTCTCACTCAGTAACCTCGTTGCGTCTTAGTGGCTTTATTGCTTTGCTTGGTGCGAACTGATTTTTTTAAAATACTACACAGATCAGGGTCGCTTTGTTTTCTTTGAAAAAAACGCAGTTTACTCTTTTGGAGTAAACCTTTTATATATAATAAATAAATTATGTATGGACCTACTTTGAATCGCCTTTGTTCCTTGGATATTAAGAACACAATACCTATCAAAATGTCTAATCTGGCTTTTATGAATCAAGGGGGTCGTCTTTGGACAGAACAGTGAGGCAGTTAAGTGTTACACGTGATACACGTTTGGGAGATAACTAGACCAGCGTTTCTCAAACGGGGTTCTCCAGAATCCTAACGTTTCGCAAAAGGTCCCCAAGGGTTCCGCGAGAACAGGTGAGATAATGCACTTTTGATTTTTTGATTTTATTTCATATACGTAATATTACTAAACATACGAACAATATACAGTTTAACCCGGATATAAGGGAGTTGTCGGGACCGGAGAAGAAGTCTCTTATATCCGGGTTTCTTTTAAACCCGGGATTGGTCTATTTTGTTTAGGTAAGTATGGGCTCTAATTTGGGACCAGAGAAAATCTCTCTTATATCCGGGTTTATCTTATATCCGGGTCTCTTATATCCGAGTTACACTGAATTCTTGGTTATTGTAATATAGACATCATCCTATCTAACCTATTATGTTATTAAAAATATAGCAATCATTGGGAATATATATAGTAATGTCTGTACGGCGCCAGTGTGAAATCACCTTCATTAGTCAGTGTCCACTCAGCGAACGGGACCTGTATTTCTTTGCTTTTTTCTTTATTTTTACAGAAATACCTAATCACCCAATATGGCGATTTTTGAAGAGAAAACATTCCGAAAATTCTAAAAAGATAAAAAAATAAAGAAACTGACACATCGATTATCTGTTTTCGTTTTGTTTACATTTATACTATAGGTATTTGATATTGGTTACTTATGTTTAATTTTTACGTTTGAGGTTAGAATATTTTTGTGTGAATGAAAACTTCCTTATGAAGTATTATAAACGAACAGTATGAATTTTATTAGAGCATTACCGAAAAATTTGATAAAGAAGTATGAATTTTTCCTTAAACCAGTTATTCAAAAATATGTACTATGATATTTACCACGTGAACTCCGATGAAAATAAAATGAGAAAGATATGGTAAATAATTTTGTTTTTACGCAGGGGTTCCTTGAGACATGTAATTTATTTTAAGGTTTGCACAAAGACAAAAAGGTTGAGAAACGCTGAACTAGACAGAAGATTTTCCCGCAGTAGTTAGCCATTTTTCTCCGGTTGACTGGTTGCCAACCATGGCTATAGGACCGAGTGTTCCCTGCTATTTAACTCATAGCTGGGAGGAGAATAGATTGATTCATGATTTTCCCAAGTGTATTTGCGCGTACGGGAATGTAACGAACCCGACTGGATTTCGAACTTTGGTCAGATAGAGATATTAAAAATAGTACCAAGATTGTGGTTTATAAAGCATCCTCTTTACTGTTGAAATAGTTAAATGCAGCTCTCACTTCTATTCCAACAATTTCTTTCCTCGCACTTCCCGCCTGTGGAACTCCTTTCCGTTTACATGCTCCCCTGATAACTACAAACTTCAAACATTTAAATGCAACGTCAATCGCCATCTTCTATCTTCTTGAATCACGTTCATCTTTTATCCTTTCCTCGATCTTCCATATATTCAGTCTATTCTCTTACCTTCACTCTCTGTAATCTCCTGTGTACCTGTGGCATTCCCACCTTTCTTGGGATGAAATGATTAGAAAAAAATACTTTTCTCTCATGACAGTTAAATCTTTGTTTCTACCAAGATTTCCTGTTTCTTAATACTTTGCTTAGCTTTTGGAAAGCATCTTTCCCTATCCCAATACGTCTTCGGATTTTGGTGACGAATTTTCTGTCTCCTGTTAAAACACTTCCTAGATATTTGTACTTGCCTGATTTTAACAACTACAATTTGTAATTCGCATTTTGGGCTCTTTATATTTGCAGACAATCTTAAGTTTTGTTTTCTTGAAACTGGTGTTTAGTCCTTTCTTCTCGCTTTCTTTTACAAACCTCTGTAAGAATCCCTGTATTTTTCTTTCAGTATCTGCTAACAACAATGATCCGTTTGCATATCTTATGTTGTTAGGATTGTGACAGCCAATAATGAATTCTGGTAGGATTTCTAATTCTCTCAGAATCATATTATATAAAAGTTTAGAACGCTTTAGTTTCTTTTCTCGCACTTCTCACCAGTGGAACACCCTTTCCGTTTCCTTGCTTCCCTGATAGCTTCAAATATTTAGATACAACGCCAATCGCCATCTTCTTGAATCCTGTTCATCTTTTGTCCTTTCTTCAATCCTCCCTATACTCCTTACTTTCTCTCACTTTCACTCCCTGTAACCCGTGCGTAATAGTGGCATTCCCGCCTTGTTTGGGGTGAAATGATTTCTAAAAAAAAATGACTGTCCCCTACTTTGCTGTCGTGAGAACGAGACAAGAACATGTCAGGGCTCTGAAAATATTCTATCATGCTTGCTTGACATTTTCAAAAGTCATTGAATGTCAACGACGAGGAAATGTTTGAAAGCTGGCTGTCGTGTCCAGCATGTTATTTCAATCTGCATCATCCAAAGCAAGGCAGTAAAGCCACTAAGACACAAGGGTTTACAGGGTGTGGAAGAATTAAGAACAGAAACATTAATAATGAGCAAAAAAAGAAGAGAGAAATCAGGAGGACAGTAGATAGCGATTGATATTGCATTTAAATTTTTACAGATTAAAGTTGGCTGGAAAGCATGGAATCGGAAGGAAGTTCCACAAGCATAGTACTGATCTTTCTACCATAGAGAATAGTTCATGTGAACAATTACCATGAAAGTATTTATAGAAAAGCCATAGGGAAGAAACTTTATGGCCGTGGGAAAGTGACTGAAGCTAAGATACCAGATAAGGACCAATAATATTGCTGATTCTTCTTTGGATTTTATCAAGAATCTCTAAATATATAACAGGAGCACCTTTCCCTTACAATCTCACTCAATAACCATCATATAGAAGAGGCACAGAGAAGCTACGTTACGGCGGTAGGAAAGTGACTGAAGCCGAGATGCCAGATCAGGACCAATAATATTGCTGATTCTTCTTTGGATTTTATCAAGAATCACTAAATATATAACAGGAACACCTTTCCCTTAAAATCTCACTCAATAACCATCATATAGAAGAGGCACAGAGAAGCTACGTTACGGCGGTAGGAAAGTGACTGAAGCCGAGATGCCAGATCAGGACAAATAATATTGCTGATTCTTCATTGGATTTTATCAAGAATCTCTAAATATATAACAGGAGCACCTTTCCCTTACAATCTCACTCAATAACCATCATATAGACAACGCACAGAGAAGCTACGTTATGGCGGTAGGAAAGTGACTGAAGCCGAGATGCCAGGTCAGGACCAATAATATTGCTGATTATTCTTTGGATTTTATCAAGAATCACTAAATATATAACAGGAACACCTTTCCCTTACAATCTCACTCAATAACCATCATATAGAAGAGGCACAGAGAAGCTACGTTACGGCGGTAGGAAAGTGACTGAAGCCGAGATGCCAGATCAGGACCAATAATATTGCTGCTGCTTCTTTGGATTTTATCAAGAATCTCCAAAGGCACTGCAGAAGCACTAGACCAAAGGTGACACCAATATTCTATGCATGGATGAATAGTAAAAGATTCTGGTGAGAAAAATTGTTTAGAACGACATAGTGAACCAACTTTCTTAGCAGCTGACCTAACAATTAAGGGTCGAAAACTATAAAAGAAGAGAAATCAAGAAAACACTACATAGCGATTGACATTGCATTTAAATTTTTGAAGATCAAAGTTGGCTGGAAAGTATGAATCTAAAAGAGATTTCCACAAACGTGGAGTGCGAAAAAAGAAACTGCTAGAATAGAATTTACGGCTACAACTAGGCAACCCGACTGTAAATTGAGACCTTGTCACCAATCTAGTACTGCGCTTAAATTCGTAAAATCTAGGTATGGAAGAGCTCATCCGAAAAATGAAAACATTTATAGAAAAGGCAGAGGGAAGCAATTTTACGCTGGTGGGAAAATAAACTGAAGC